CTTGATGGCACACGACGACGACAACAACAACAACGGAGCCAGAGTGTTGTAGTGGTTTGAGTGTTGGACTATGACTCTGGAGACCGGAGTTTGAATCCCAGCTCTGGCATGAAACCCAGTGGCTGACTTTGGCAAATCACACACTCTCAGCCTCACATGCAGGCCATGGCAAACCCCACTCTCTGAAGAAACTTGCCAAGAAAACCCCATGATAGGTTCACTGCCTTAGGGTCGCCTTAAATTGGAAACAACTTGATGGCACACAAAAACAAAAACACTATTTGTTGTTAACCGTCTCCAAGTGGATCCCAACTCATGGCAACCCTATGGATGATCCCTCTCCAAGGCTCCCAGTGTGACCAGATGCCCTCATAACAGCCATGGAGGACAATGTACTGCAAAATGTGGGACATTCTGAAGAAAAATGGAGGACTTGACCATAGAAAAGCTCAAAACACTCCTATGAATGTAAAGTCATGCTTCTTAGTCATGCTCAAAATGGAGGACCTTTGGGAATCCCTCCTGCACAAAAGGCTGAAAGGGAGGACATGTCCTGGGAAAGGAGGAGGACCTCTGGTCACCCTGAAGACATCACAAAAAGTAGGTCCTTCAAGTATAGGACCTGATCAAAGAAAAGCTCAAAATGTTCCCATAAATGCAAATTAATGCTTCTTAGTAATACAGAATGGAGGACGTTTTGGAATCCCTCTTGGACAGCAGGTGGGAATGTAGGAAAGGTCCTGGAAAAGAATACCTCTGGTCACCTTATATTCTCCAGTACTTGCTTTTGTTGTTGTTGTTGTTGTTGTTGTTGTTGTTGTGTGCCTTCAAGTCATTTGCAACTTATGGCAACCCTAAGGTGAACCTGTCATGCGTTTTCTTGGCAAGATTTCTTTAGAGGAGGCTTACCATTGCCGTCTCCAGAGGCTGAGAGTATGTGACGTGCCCAAATGTCACCCAGTGGGTTTTATGGATGAGTGGTCTCTAGAGTTGTAGTCCAACATTTAAACCACTGTGTCATGCTGGCTCTCTGCTTAGTCCACGTAACTTCAAATTTGTGACCTTAATCAAATCCATCCATCTAACATGCCATCTTCCCCTCTTTCTGCATCCCTCCACCTTCCCCGGCGTTAATTGTCTTTTCGAGTGAGTTGCGCCTTCTCATGATGTGGCCAAAATATGAAAACCTCAGTTTGGTCATATTGGCTTCCAGGGAGAGTTCATGTTTGATCTGTTCTAGGACCCATTTGTTTGTCTTTTTGGCTGTCCATGGTACCCTCAGCACTCTTCTCCAGCACCACATTATCTCAAATGAATTGATATTCTTACCTGCTTTCTTAATGGTCCAACTCTCACATCCAGACATGGTAAAAGAGAATACAATGGGGTTGTATGATTCTAGCTTTCGTGTTCAGTTGTATCATCTGTATTGCATGCATTCATTCAGTTAGCATTGGATTGGACTCCAGACTGCTTCCTGATCTGGAATAGGATTATTCTCTCTAGAAGCCAGCCAGGATGACTAAACTGAAGCTGTTCTATTTTGGCTGTCTCACATCATGAGAAGGCATGAATCATTAGAAAAGAAAATAATGTTAGGAAAGGTAGAAGGTAGCAAAAAGAGAGGAAGACCATAGTTGGGTTCAATCAGAGGCCATGGCCACGAGTCTGCAGGACCTGAGCAGATAAATGGAGGACAAGAAGTCTCATCCATAGGGTCGCCATGGGTTGAGGTCGACTTGAGGGCAATTAGCAACAATGATACAGCATGCATTCAGTCAGCATTGGACTGGACTCCAGGCTGTTTGCTAACCCAGAATAAGATGATTCCCACGTTCTTGTTCCTTAACATTATAATCCATAGGGAAATCTGTCTCTTTACTCATACAGTGGGCCCTTGTTATCCACAGGGATTTGGTTCCAGGACCACCTGTGGATACCAAAATCCGTGGATGCTCAAGTCCCATTAAATACAATGTTATGCTGAAATGGTATTCCTTATATAAAATGGTGAAATCAAGGTTTGCTTTTGGAAATGTGTATATTTAAAAAATATTTGCAAACCATGGATGCTTGAATCCGTGGATAAAAAAAATATCTTTGGATACAGAGGGCTGACTGCACTGCTTTTTCAAAGACAACCACACTCTACAGGAGGCACAACACAGCAAAAGGACATAATGGCAGGGAGGGGGGGACCTAATGTGCAACAAGTGGTCCTGCATGCTTGTAGGTTTGTGATTATAGGCTGTAATCCCAA